AACAAGTACCTGAGTATTCTTTATATACTCTTTTTGGCCAGTTTTAATTCTCATGCTCTGTTTTTAGGCATGCTACTGATCCAAACAATCCCCAAATATGATGTAGAAAATGTATTTTGGTTGCGATGGTTTCATTTGTGTGTCAAAGATTATTCTCATTTGGTTTTTATTTGATATTTCTCTTATATGTTTGATTCAAGATTGATCATTATTTAGTGTGGTTAAAGTTTCTTGCTTGATGACTTTCAATTGATAGACATTGTTAATATGAGTCTTCCATTTGAAGATCCTGACTTGATATATAACAAGTACGAGAGAGAAGGTGTTGTTAGTCAAGTATGGAGGGATAATGTTGAAGGGTTCGTAAAGTATTCTGTGTCAAGTCTGAATGTGTATAAGATGCAGAATAAGAAAATGTGTTGCCCATGTAAGAAGTGTAAGAATGTTACATTTAGATCATCAGCAAAGATGTTAGAGCACATACTTCGGTTTGGATTCACACCAAATTACTACGATTGGGTATGTCACGGCGAGAATCACGGTGATGGGGTTCCCCGCCAACGACATAAAGTTCCTCGTCATGCCAATGCCACTAACGTGTTTGATCAGACAGGTAGAGAACAATATGCAGAAATGGTATTTGATACTTTTGGCCCGTATTAGATTAACTCTATTTTTGGGGAGGAGCCAAATCCAAGCGATATGAAATTCTTTGAAATGTTTAAAGCCGTTGATACTGATATGTAGAATGGATGCAATTAGGTGTTAAAGCTGTGTGCAGTTACGTGTTTGTTAAACATAAAGTCTGACCATAACTTATCTGAGCGATGTCATGACACCTTCTACCAATTCCTCCAAGATGCTCTACCCGAAGATAACACAATGGTGGATGGGTTTTATCAAACAAAAAGCTAGAAGATCTTGGTCTCCATGTCTAGAAGATTCATTGTTGCATTCTAGGGTGCATGTTATATTGGGAAGATGACGAAAGTCTCACGTAGTGCAAGGTTTGCAACAAGTAGCATTATAAAGACCAGAAGTCTAAGATTCCAAATAGACAGATGTTTTACTTTCCGCTAACACCTAGGTCCAAACGCCTATATATGTCTAAACGTACAACAAGTGCAATGAGGTGGCATGCCGATCATCGACACACAAGTAAGGATGAAATGTGCCACCCTTGCGATTCTGAAGCGTGGAAAAGGTTTGATGCTGAACATTTTACATTTGCATTAAAGGTGTGCAACGTGCGCCTTAGACTATGCACAGATGGGTTCTAATCGTTCGGACAGTCTGGGTCACAATATTCATGTTGGTCCGTAATGATTACCTCGTACAATCTTCTGCCTGATATGTGCATGAAAGAAGAACACATATTCTTGTCGCTAATTGTGCGTGGGAGGTCTAACCCAAAATAGAAGATTGACGTGTACTTGCAGCCACTCATTGCGGAGCAAACCTTTGGTCGCACTCTACCAGACCCTGGTGATCAACGTAGTCCGGGATTTTGCTGACGGGATGTGTCAGAGGTGTGTGCTCCTCTAGTAACATAAGTTTGGGCCTGCGAGGAGGGTAGGGTTTCCTTTCGTCGTAGGTCCTTTCCTCATATAAATCTCTCCCCTGAGACCTCCATCTCGCTGATCTCGCGAGGAAATACCTCAATGGCTCGTCCGGCCTTTGTCTGACTGAAAGGAGGTGGGATAAATGTAGCTTCTTTTTCCTGTTGGCGGCGAAGTGCATCAAGAACCTGTGTGCCAAATCTTCCCAGGAACCGATCCTGCCTTCCGGTAGTTCATTGAACCATTCTGACGCCAGCCCATTGAGGGTTTCTAGAAAGGATCTGCAAAGGACCTCCTCAGAGAACGTCACAACGTTCATGAGGGTCTGGTATCGGTTGAAATGTTTTTGTGGGTCCATCGTTCCAAGGTACCTAGGTATGGGTGGCATTTGGAAGTTACCCGGTAGGGTAGCCCTTAGCACTCTCTCAAAAAACGGAGAGCGAAGTTTGAAAGTGGGCTCTGGAGCGTATCCACACCCGTTCCTTCTCTCCAACGCATCTATCCTCTACAGAAGGAACTCGATGTGTTCGTCCCTAAAGCCGTTCACCCCTCGCCTGCCCTGTCAGGTGCCCCCTAAAGCGGCCTGAAGAAGAGATCATGGATAGGCTGTTCAGCTTGAGGAACAAACCTCTCAGGTCGTGCGTCCCGATGGCGCTCACACCGTTCTTAACAAGGCATTCTTATCTTGCCTGTCCGGTCATGGGCGATAGTGTTCCCTCGACCATGCAATTGATCTTTCGCAGGCACACACATCCGGCTGAACACGGATACATGTGATTCGCTCTTGCCTTGCCCTTCATTCAAAGGTTCGCGGCGCCTTCCGGCCTCATCCCTGTCTTGGCGACTAACCTGCTTCCTTGCCACCTGCTCCTCTAGGCCTTGCCGTCGTCCCTATGCTAGAAGCGGCCTGTTTCCTTGTCGTCGCGTCCGTCCGCCGATGGACCCATGTGGGAATCTTCCATCAGTCCCTTCAGATGGTGAGCGAATAGCTCCGCATTTTCCGCCATGTTCTACGGACCCACTTGATGCCCTTCATGCAGGAACGTCGGCTCGTGCACGAAGATTGGTTCCTGAAAACCCATCATGGACTGATTCATCATCATAGCCCTCATCATGGTAGGGGTTCTGATACTGGAAGTCTCACCAAACTTGTAACGCCACAAGATATGACCTAAAATTTATTATAAAACAATAGTAGTTTTTATCCAATAAAGAATATTTTTATGTTTGACTAAAAATAAATGGATTTTCAAAATAATGACTTTTTGTTAAAAAGTTATATTTATGGATATGTCTCGAAGAGACGAATCCAACGGTACATTTTATAAACCAATCTGATTTGTAGATTTCAAGTTATGTCAATTTTAAATAGTAAAATTTGTAACTTTGACCCATAAAATAAACTAAATTCAAAAGTGATTTCATCAGATTAGAAATCATAATTTTGACACTTGACAATATCATATTTATCATTTGGATTTAATTCATATATTTTTATCTCATTCATATTATTATATTAAATTATGACTGAGACAGACCCGGACACTGAGAAAAAAAAAAGTTCTCAGAAAAATATTTTGATTACGTCAAAATTCTAGTTTTGACAGTCTGATTCCAAAAATACAATTTGTTTTCAATTCGGAACAGTTTGGGCGAAAAAGCGCGTACCGTTTTAGTCAGTTTATCAGTTACGGAATAAGAAAATAAATTTGATTCCCCAAAATCCTCTAAGTCACGTAGAGACACTCTCATCCCTTCCAATCCTCAATCAAACCAACCCCACTACCATATACCT